CTGAAGCTCCTCCAGGACCACTCAGTGGAGGTCTTGAAGCTCCTCCAAGACCTCCACTCAGTGGCCCTGAAGCTCCTCCTCTGAGATCTTGTCCACGTGTTTTGGGTCGTTGTCCGAGGTCCAGAGCACCCTGGAGCAGGTTTTCATCCAGGATGTCTCTGTTCATCACTGCTTTCATAGTTCCTTCTATCCTGACTAGTCTTCCAGTTCCTGCTGCTGAAAAACATCCCCACAGCATGACGCTGCCACCACCATGCTTCACTGTAGGGATGGTGTTGTTCTGGGATGAGCTGGTTTCCTCCCAACATGACGCCTGACGTTCACACCAGAGTTCAATCTTTGTCTCATCAGACCAGAGAGTTTTGTCTCTCCTGGTCTGAGAGTCCTTCAGGAGCCTTTTGTGAAACTCCAGATGTGCAGCCATGAGCCTTTTATTAAGGAGTGGCTTTCATCTGGACACTACCATACAGTTCTGATTGGTGGATTGTTGCAGAGAAGGTTGTCCTTCTGGAAGGTTCTCCTCTCTCCACAGAGGAACACTGGAGCTCTGACACAGTGACCATCAGGTTCTTGGTCACCTCCCTGACTAAGACCCTTCATCCCCTATCCCTCAGTTTAGACAGTCGGCCAGCTCTAGGAAGAGTCCTGGTGGTTCCAAACTTCTTCCATCTATGAATGATGAAGTCCACTGAGCTCATCGAGACCTTCAAAGCAGCAGAAATCTTTCTGTATCCTTCCTCAGATTTGGATCTCAAGACAGTCCTGTCTCGGAGGTCTACAGACAGATCCTTTGACTTCCTGCTTGGCGTTTGTGCTCCGACATGTATTGTCCACTGTGGGACCTTCTATAGACTTAGTGTCTTTTCAAATCAAGTCCAATCAACTGGGTTTGCCACAGCTGGACTCCGTGGAAGTTGTAGAACATCTCAAGGCACCCGAGCATCTGCAGCATGATGAAATGTGGAAAAAGTGAAGCGCTCTCCGGATGCTCTCGACCTGCATTCATCTTGTCCAGGTTAGCCCTCCTCTCACCTGCTGACAGCTTGGACAAGCTCCAGCTGCCCACACAGACCACCCGTCCAGAACATGAGTGAGTGAACATCAGAAACCATGATTGATGTGTCATTAAAGTAGAAGTGACTCACTGCGAGCTCTTAAAAGAAACGGTGCCTCTCCCAGGGTCCTCCTGCAGCTGGTGCTCAGGAAACCACCTCTGGAACTGATCCACTTGAGGGTTGTTGTGCTTTTTACCCAGAATGCTTTGGAGGTGCCTATAAACCAGCTTGGGGTTCTTCACAGACTGAAAAGTTGTGCACAGTGAGTCAGCGTTATGGACAGCTGCAGCAGGTGTGTGAACGTGGACCTGAAAGATCTTACCACTCCTAAAGCACTGTCGCCAAAGAGTCGCTCGTTGTCTTTGAGGCACACGACTGCGGGCGTCTTCCTCCTCGACTCCCTGAAGGAAAACACGTTGGTTACATGAGAAGGTTCTTACAAGCCCAGCGCACAAGATGTGGAGACTGGAGCAAGTCAACGAAAACAGAACTAAACTATGTGACAATCTCAAACCACCCGACTCACGGCACAAAACGATACAACTAAGAAAATTAAAAATATTTAGAAAAAATTATTCATTTTTAAACTGATGAGAGCAAGACGTCTCACAAAACACGACAGGAGCAACACAAGTGACAGGAAGTGGAAGAAACAGGAAGTTTGTTGCTCCTCGTGAAGTTCAGCGACGAGTGACTGAAGAACACGTTAGGACCTTGGTGTTCGACCTGAGGCAGACCGTCTACAGGTCAGAGGTTCAGCACTCTTTCAAAATGGGCCTAAATTTAAGTTCATAACACCATCAGATCATGTGAAGAACCTGAGAGCTCCAAGGACAAGGGAGTGCTGGCTGTCTTGGATCTTCAGGCCCTCAGGGGCCAGGACTTAAAAATCAGGTTCTGGACTCAGGAACACTTCAACAAACCACTGTCTGGAAACTTCCAGCTCCATCAAGTGAACACTGAGCACCTTTAAACATCTGCTTACAACTCCAAGGACATCTTTCATGTTTCAGGAGGACCACGCTGAACCAGCCACTCCATCCAGAAGGTGCTGAGCGGGCCTGCAGCCCAGTCAGGACTGTGCAGCGTTCTTCAGTAATATGCAATGACCTGATGAAGTGCAGGAAATCTTTGCTCCACACTCCTCACATCACGTCCACCAGGTGAGACTGGTGGACCAAACGTCTTATTAGCATGTCGACCATGAATGCTACTGGTGGGAACATGGCGCTCCCCAGTATCAGTTTCAACACGTTGCACAGCCCAGAAGCCTCTGAAGCATCGAGGAACAAACGGAGCACAGAAGAGCCGGGCCAGGCATCACAGCTGTTCTCCTCAGTTCATACATGTTTACAGATGTTTACAGATGTTTGTGGACCTGTCACAACTGTTGCTGCCGCACATCACTCAGTTCCACGTTGTCCTCCTTCATGAGACGGCTCTGTTCATGTACCGTTACTACGTTTCACTGGGATTACTGGTCAAGATGTGCAAATCATTGGTTCTGGTTTCTTTTACGTTTTACACCATCTACAAACTTTAGTGGATCAGGACCAAACACTAAATACACAGTTTGAATTTTACTCCGTCGTACGACTCCGTCCTGACTGAAGAGAAAACACCGACGTCCTCCTTCACCTGTTCAGAACAATCTCCATCGGCACGCCAGGTTTCACGATGGCCATCTTCATCCACTCACTGCCCAGGTCCACCGACATGACGGCTACACCACCTGGCAACAAACACACCTGCATTATACACACACCATACACACATACACACATTATACACACATTATACACACACACACACACACACCATACACACATACACACATTATACACACACACACATTATACACACACATACACACATTATACACACACACACCATACACACACACATTATACACACACACACA